ACCCGTCTCTAAACAGCCAACATTTCCCACATCAACACATGATGAGACTTCATTAACATTAGAAGTGGTAGTTGTGACTCCTCCCGGATTAGAGAATTTCCTAAACTGACTATGCACTGGGATTATAAATTCATATGTGTTAAGTATAAAACTTTAATCTTCCCAGAGTACCCCACCTACTGAGATCTGGGGGATTCTGGGATTAGGTGATGCAGCGTTAGTGAAAGAGGCATCTAGTCAGTGACCCCTGGACCAGTAGAAGGAGAGGGAAGCAGCAGATATCAGGTCACTACACAGGAGAACTTTGTGGCAGGACATCTGTCATGTGAAGCAACAGACTACCTCTCAGGGGTAATGAGATGCCCACCCTCCCCACCATCCCCCCATCACCATTACTTTGAATGGTTAAGCAAATGCCGAGGCCTCTCTTCAAGATGTTATTGAAGGGACTCATGCCCTAGGAAGGCTGTTATGATGTGTGTTCTTTAAGGTCCAACTTCCTTAAAGTCTATTTGTGCGCATGGTTGAAGCCAGAAAGACCTCAGGAGTGCCTGATCTCTGCCCTCAAATATCTGAAAGGCTTCTCTAGGCAAAAGAGAGCAGGATTGTCCTATGTAGCTCTGAGGGAGGACCAGCTGGAGGGAGATTCAAGGACAATTTACAGAGCAGCTTTCTCATAGTCAGAGATGCCCGGGCATGAGATTGGCCATTCAGGGAAGAGGTGGGCTCAGACGACCACTCAGCAGGCCATCAAACATGCTACAGCTCTAAGTGGAGTTAGACCGGATGGTTTTAAGGGCTTACCAGCCCTGAAATTCTGTAATTCTAAGCTCCTGAAGTTAGCATGCCCTGAAAAGGGCTTATTCTACCTAGAAGCCCAGACGGGGCCTGCCTTACTAAAAAGCACCATAAACTTGAAAATGAGCTGCACTCCTGGTATAAGGGTCATCGTTATCCCACTTTATGGAATTGTTTATCTGTTATTTTCTCCATGACTCTTTCTCCCATCAACCAATAGATGGGAGGGCAGGGCTGTCTTACACTTTCAGTGTCTCCAGCACCTAACAGAAAGCCTAAACAGAAGAGACACACAGGGTGCTGTCAATTAAATTAAGGAGTCCTTTCTAAAAATTCACAAATATTAACACAAATACCCTGTGTGCCAGGTCTCAAGCTAAGTTTGTGGGAGACCCAAAGATGAACAAACCCTACCCTTGATAACTCTTCCTTGCATGCATGCATGCTGATAAAAAACTAATTGTACTAGAGTATTTCAAGGACATTTGAACATAATAGTCAAAGGGCCCCGCTTAGTTAGAAAATCCCTATAAGAACACTTTTAGGTGGTAGTGCATCCCAGCCGCAATACACAGACATGCGTGAAGAGGGGTACTCCAGTTTACTCTTCCTATAGCTTCAGATTTGGGGGAGGAAGGTGGAAATGATTTTTACTAAAACAATTATGCATACTGTATGAAGGGGAGGAGCAATTTCTATGAATATTTGTTAAAACAGGGGGCTTTGATGAAATGTCGAGGTGTTCTGGCCATATTTCACGCTGCCTCAGACTCTGGCATGTGCTCTCACCCCCGTTGGCCACTGGGTTCTTTGGTGGAAACACTGGCAAGGCCCATTCGGGAGTCCAAGGGCACACAGGGCAGCGTTCCCGCTGGTGGGCGGTCCTGCCATCCCACCCCCATGCTTGCCTCGTTCTCAGCTCAGCGTTAATGCATTTTCCAAATGGAGAACATCAAGGATAACAGCAGAGGTGACCGTTAAGGCCAGGAGAGAAGAGATTTTCAAGAGCATGAGGAGACTGCCTGGAAGAGAGCTGAGGGCAGAGCTGAGCCTGCCTGGCCAGGGACCACTGGCTCTTACTTGTGGGATCTAATTTGATAATTTGATGCAAGATGAGTAACCCACTCAAAGAAGAACTTATTTGCAGAGGGCATTTCCCAGGGAGCACCACTGATTCTGCCAAAGAATTTCCCAGCACGCAAGGAGGAGGAGTCCTTGACTTTCTCCTGCTCCACCCCCCAGGCGCTGGCAGGAAGTCCAACTTCGAGAACCTTTTGTGCTGAGAAGAAAAGGCTGTAATCGGGTGTTTCCTTATGGCTCTGGAATAAAGCAGCTTTTCATTTCCATGTCACACGAAGGGGCAAGTGTGGGATCATCCAGGTTTGAAGGACTGACAAAGCCTTGCTTAGGCCCTGAATATTTTCTTAGTTATTTTTAGTTTACGGCAGTCAGCACTTTAGACCAGGAGCCAGGACCAGGTGTGACAGCTCAGTGCCTCACTATTCAAACCTGGGTGAGATTTTTTTTTTTTTTTTTTTGCGGTACGCGGGCCTCTCACTGTTGTGGCCAATCGCGTTGCGGAGCACAGGCTTCGGACGCGCAGGCTCAGCGGCCATGGCTCAGGGGCCCAGCCGCTTCGCGGCATGTGGGATTTTCTCGGACCGGGGCACGAAACCGTGTCCCCTGCATCGGCAGGCGGACTCTCAACCACTGCGCCACCAGGGAAGCCTGGGTGAGATTTTTAAATTTATTTATCAAACTTTTATATAGTGCTTACTATGCGCCACATACTACTGTAACTGCTGTATAAATATTACTTAATCCTCATGACCTTGCTGTCACGTACTTTACCATCCCCATTCTACAGTTGAGGAAACTGAGGCACAGAGAGATTATGTAATTTGTCCAAGGTCAAATCAGGCTTCTGCCTCTAGGGCCCACACTTTAAACCACCATGCTGTGGAGCCTTTGTCTTGCCTCTACAAAGCCCATGGATTGCTGCAGTGGGAATTTGGGGCTGCGGTCTCCCTGCCAAACCTTGTAGGTGTGTGTGAACTGGCTGGATTCCTGCTTCCTCAGCAAACTCCCTCCAGCCATCCTGCTGTCTCCATACCCCCCTTCACCTTTCCTTTTGCACTTGACATTGCCATTACCCCATTTTCAGTCCAATGGCCCTCACAGCAAATCCCAGGCAGACTCTCACTCTGGCACAGGTGCGTCTCCTTTAAGAAAGACAAACACCAAAGCACTTTTTGAATAGAGTGTTGAATATTCATAATACAGAAAGACCACTTTCCTCTACAAAAAGACTTAATCTCGGTGGGGGGCGGTTCTTTAACTAGCACTAACATTCCACCCATGCTTTGAATTATTTGATTACTAATCATTAACTACTTAACCTGGGAACTCCCGAGCCCACTGTGCTTAAAGCCACAGACCCACTGGGCTACTTGCCCGTAGAAAATTAATTAGAACGGAAAGTGGAACGGGAGCTCTGAGATAAGCAGAGTCTTATTCACTCCACACACAGCCCCCTCATAAACACCGTGACTGCAAACGTGAGCTCAGCCCAGCTGCTTCATATCCTCTACCTCAAGGTGGTGAGTGCGAGTGACAAGCCAGGCCTCATCCTTTCCCCGGAGAGGGTGACGGTTTGCTTGTGGTCCCCAGACTGTGATCCCTGGACCAGTACCACCAGCAGCTGAGATACTCGGGAGCTTAAAAAGGCACATCTTGGGCCCCATTGCAGACCCGTAGGGTCAGAAGGTGGGCCCCAGTGATCTGTGGTATCACAAGCCCTCCAGGGACTGTCTAATCCATTTACCCAACCCACATCCCCAGGAGAAACCAGGAAGGTTGGTCTGGTGCTTGAGGTCCCACCTCTAGCTGCTACAGACACACCTTGGGGACACAGGAAGAGAGGAGGTGCATGGCTGTGTAACCTGGGGTCGGATCCTCAGTGCCTCAGCCCAAGGCGCTCATGGACCACGGCTCCACATGCCCGCCAGGCATATAGTCAGCGCTCCGTGTCTGAGTGCCCCACGGTGCTCTGGTGCCTTTTGCAAATGAGAAGACTGAAGCCCATGGTGGCTCAGCCCCTTACCAGGGTCACGGCCAGGGAGAGCCGCCAGAGACAAGGCTGGGAGCAGAGTCCCATGTTCCCTGCTTCCGCTCATCCCACCTCTGATGCCGTTTCTAGTCTCCAGAGAGGCTCGGAAGGAGAAGGACCTAGGCTGGGGGCTGGGAACCGAGCTCTCGGAATTATTATTAGCCTTCTTAATTCCATACATTCAGCTTTCCATTTTTTTTTTAATGGAAAGTATACCGATTTCACTTTATTAGCCTAATTTCGGAATGGGATCAGGACTATGGGGTTGAGGTCAGGTGTGAAGGAAGAGGGTTAAAATTTGTGACAGCAAAGATCCCTTCAAAATTCCGGTGCAGTCCTCAGTCACTGCAGCCTAATGGTCAGTCAATAGAGCTGGAATCCAGAACACTGAAAGCAGACTCCTGTGCTCCATTTCTGTCCAGGTACTCTTCAGTCACAGTGATGAGGTCCACCAGGTTGCCTTTAGGAGGAGTCATGCTGTCAGGAAAGAAATTTACTAAGGTGTGAAAGAGCAGAGTTCTCTGAGCACAGGTGTGATCCACATTGGAAAAGCCTAGAGCTGTGAAATCTGAACCAGATTTAAACAGAGCTGAAGCTAGGAGCTGAAACTCTTTTGTCTCTTCTGGGTCTGAATGATCCACAGTTATATAAAGATCATTTTGTAGATATTTCAGAGCACTAAGGGGATCCATTTGGGCCTTCTCTTCAAACCTGTGTTTTCTTATGAGGTACTTGCAATGCCTCAGTAAGTAATCTTTTGAAGGCCTACACAATTTCAGTGACCAGAAGTCATCTAATCTCATCTTTGGGGACCAAGATTTTCCTGGATTCCCACCAAATAAATAATGAACCTTGTGTATGTAACTCATCGTATACAAGCTGATGGGCAAATCTTGGACATGGTTCTTTCTCCTGAAGACTTTTACTTGGATTATCCTTTGCAGCTTGATCATTCTTATAGACACAAGACCAACTATTCCTTACAATGTTATAAATCCAGAATGAATTTCTGACATTCTCTTCCCTCTTTTCCTTGTCTTTGCTGAGTCCAGATAAGACATGTATTTCATCCAGTTCTGGATCAATGGTTGCTCTCTGTATGAATCCTGTCATTGGAACTGATGATCAAACACCAGTTTCGGTCCTCCATCAGCAGTATCCTCACTGAGTAACATCCATGTGTTTGTGTCAATGTCATAATGATAGAAATCACTTTTCAGAGATTTGCTGTTCTTCACAGAGGAATCCGAATAACGCCCCGGTGTGTAGATTTGCCTTCGTTGAATGTCAATGCACATTTTATGACATGATCTAGCGCTAGGAGCATTCTCTTTCTCAGTGTCTCTAGAGATACACGTCCATTGGTTCTCTTTCACACTGTACGCCCAGAAGTCAGCAAGATCTTGTGTTCCATCCCAGCCACCAAACAAATAAACAGTCTCTGTTTGAACATCAATAACCATCTGATGGCCTCCTCTCATTCCTGGTCGGTTATCTTCTCCATCACCTTTGGTACTTTTGGGAATGATTTGACTCCATCGTGGCTTATATTCCTGTTGACTGATGTACTGATTGAACAAGCCATCATTTACAGCTTTTTCAATCAATTCTTCACAAGCATCAAAATCACCCTTCAGTACCAATTTATCGTGCAGATCTGTTAACATGGGATGTTCCAGGGCAATCTTGGTTTTCTTTTGCAGTGATTCAAAGGCCTCTGTATAGTTATGTTGTCTGAAGTGTTTTAGGCAAAGGCGAATAGCTTCCTGTTCACGGTACTACTTAACTATACCAGTTGAGACAGGGTTGTACTACATCGGGATCATCAATGCCACTAAGTTCAACATACCAGATGCTAAAGTTAAAGCTGGGTCCCCACGATAAGAGTGGAACTATTTTAATGAATCAACAAGGAAACATCTGTTCATCAATTTTATGCTTCAAGGTAAATGTTTCTTTGTTATAATCATTCTTTAAGCCACTGGACAATAGCTTTGTCATGTTTTCTTCATTCATTCCACCAAAGACTTTAAATTTCTTCAAACTGCAGACATGAGTTTTCTCGTATTTTCCAAATGTGATATTCTGGACTATCGCAGGCCTTTCAAGCTTCAGAAACAAGTACTGGGCAGCGTAGTTGCTCTCTGTAGACCACTGTGAAGGCTGGTCATTTGGCTTATCCACTAAAATGTTCATTACACCCAAGTATCTTCCTTCTGAACAATGCCTTCACATAAGTATTCCCATTAAAGTTTCAGGAAGGTAGGTGGAGGAGAAGGAGCTCCACTTGTGTAGCGCGCAGGGCAGAAGCCGGCACTCGGGCCCCGCCAGCTGCCATCTTGTCAGCACCGTAGCGACCGCCGCCCGTTTTCTTTTGATGCTGTTTCCATACTTAACTTGGTTTCCATTCCAGTTAGGCTCTCTGTGTGCTGTGGCATCCCTCCTGCCAGGTTTAATTGCCCTTTTTTAAATTCTTTAATTAAAAGTATTGTGTTTCCAGATCCTATAGTTTTAAGTATTACACAAATCATTTAGACGACTGGACTAATAAACCAAGCCACTGTGCCCTCCACCGAGGGCGAGGCCAGCCAGGGGCCCTGCATCCAGCCCCCGCCCACTTGTGTGAGGACCAGAGCCTGCTGACAGGTGGCCCTGCTTCCTTCCCTCCTCCCAGGCTCTACGTTCCACACAGCAGCCAGGGGGACCCGGTTAGCATGTCAGTCCGACCCTGCAGTGGCCTGTACTGTCACCAGGTGAACAGCCGAAGTCCGTTCGCACAAGATGCCCCTCCCTCCCCTCTTGGGCCTCATCTCCCACCCCCGCCCCGTGCTGTTCCCTGCGCACACCAGGCCTCTGCTGGTGCAGGAACTGCACTCTGGGGCACAAGACTCCCCCAGATACACCTGGGCTCCTCCTCGTTCATGTCCTTGCCCAGCTCTCATCTTCTCAGGGGGCATCACCGCAACAGCCTCCTGCTCTCAGCACCACTCCGGTACCCTCACAACCTCCCGGTCTTAGTCCGTCCATGCTGCTATAACAAGAAAGGACCAGAGACTGGGAAGCTTGAACAACAGACATTTATCTCCCACAGTTCTGGAGGCTGGAAAGTACAAGATCATGGTGCCAGCAGATCTGGCGTGTCACACCTTCTCACTGTGTCCTCACGAGGCAGAGGGAAAGAGGTCATCCCTCCTGTGACTCTTCTTGTAAGGGTACTAATTCCATCATGAGGGCTCCACCCCTATGACCTAATTACCTCCCAAAGGCCCCACCTCTCATCACACTGGTGATCAGGGCTTCAACATATGAATTTTAAGCAGACACATTGTCCACAGCACTGCTCTACATTTTTGTGCACAATCTTAGCACCTCTAACACACTATAGAATTTACCATTTGCTCCCCCTCCTGGAATATAGTCTCCACAAAGACAAAGATCTTCTCCTGTTTAGTCACTGATGTATCTCAGTGGGCGGGAACTGCTCCTGGCATGTGGTAGGCACTCATTAAATATTGGATGGATGGATAGATGGATAAATCATGTCTTTGCAGAGACCTCTCAAAAGAACTAGACCAACCTGACTCACCAGAGCCCTTGAAGCTCTTCAGATGACCTTCCACCCCAGGCAATGGGACACCAGCAGCTCTCGGTCTAGTCTACTACCTTGAGGCAGGTGTGGGGTGGGATAAATGGAGGGGAGGGTGTGGCCACTCATCCTAGTGAGGAACAGCGAAGGGGGCAGACTCCCAGGTTCTCAGCCTGGTTCTACCACTGACTGACCATGTGACCCCACCTCTCTGAGCCTCAGTCTCCAGTTCTACAAAATGGGGATAATTATCATCTCCACCGCTCAGGGTTATGGTGAAGAACACTTGAGATTGAGTGTGTGAAGCATTTGACACAGTGCTGGGGACATGGTAAATAAGCCTTGACTGTAACTACTTTTACCTCAGGGCCAGAGCCCGCAGGTAGAGGTAAGGATGGTAATACCACCAGACTGCTCCCAAAGGCACTGAGCTCACCAGGAAGGGACTAAATCGAGAACAGGAAGGCTCCTTTGCAATTTTGGTGAATGGCATTTGGCCGGAGAGGGGGCGAGAGCCCACAGTTTGCTCAGTGAGAGAGGCTGAGGTCCAGGAAGGAAGACGGGAGGGAGACTGGCCACTGGCTCCAGCACCAAAAGGTGGGATGGCTCCTCTCTCCGTATCCCACATACGTACCAAGATGTATACCAGGCCTCCAAGGTGGCCTTACTACTCTATTCTAGAAGATTCTCCTCTCAGAGCCTTTGGGGAGGATGCTTTCTTGACCTCATTCTCCACCCTCCCTACAGGCCCAGATGCCCTCACTGAGGTTGTGTCTCCTTCACAGCCCTGCTCTTGGCCTCACTCCATTTCCTCCAGCGCCTTCCCGGAGACCACACAGGCTGTTTCTGCCTCAGGGTCCCTGTGTTTCCTGTCTCTAGGGTGCTGAGGGCACAGCTGGGCCAGGGTAGGGCCTGGAAAGTGCTATATATATTTTTTCTGTTTTATTATTTATTTATTTATTTTAACATCTTTATTGGAGTATAATTGCTTTACAACGGTGTGTAGTTTCTGCTTCATAACAAAATGAATCAGTTATATATATACATATGTTCCCATATCTCTTCCCGCTTGCGTCTCCCTCCCTCCCACCCTCCCTATCCCACCCCTCCAGGCGGTCACAGAGCACCGAGCTGATCTCCCTGTGCTATGCGGCTGCTTCCCACTAGCTATCTACTTTACGTTTGGTAGTGTATATATGTCCATGCCACTCTCTCGCTTTGTCACAGCTTACCCTTCCCCCTCCCCATATCCTCAAGTCCATTCTCTAGTATGTCTGTGTCTTTATTCCTGTTTTACCCCTAGGTTCTTCATGACATTTTTTTTTCTTAAATTCCATACATATGTGTTAGCATACGGTATTTGTCTCTCTCATTCTGACTTACTTCACTCTGTATGACAGACTCTAGGCCTATCCACCTCATTACAAATAGCTCAATTTCGTTTCTTTTTATAGCTGAGTAATATTCCATTGTGTATATGTGCCACATCTTCTTTATCCATTCATCCGATGATGGACACTTAGGTTGTTTCCATCTCCGGGCTATTGGAAATAGAGCTGCAATGAACATTTTGGTACATGACTCTTTTTGAATTTTGGTTTTCTCAGGGTATATGCCCAGTAGTGGGATTGCTGGGTCATATGGTAGCTCTATTTGTAGTTTATAAAGGAACCTCCATACTGTTCTCCACAGTGGCTGTATCAATTTACATTCCCACCAACACTGCAAGAGTGTTCCCTTTTCTCCACACCCTCTCCAGCATTTATTGTTTCTATATTTTTTGATGATGGCCATTCTGACTGGTGTGAGATGATATCTCATTGTGGTTATGATTTGCATTTCTCTAATGATTAGTGATGTTGAGCATTCTTTCATGTATTTGTTGGCAGTCTGTATATCTTCTTTGGAGAAATGTGTATTTAGGTCTTCTTCCCATTTTTGGATTGGGTTGTTTGTTTTTTTGTTATTAAGCTGCATGAGCTGCTTATAAATTTTGGAGATTAATCCTTTGTCAGTTGCTTCATTTGCAAATATTTTCTCCCATTCTGAGGGTTGTCTTTTGGTCTTGTTTATGGTTTCCTTTGCTGTGCAAAAGCTTTGAAGTTTCATTAGGTCCCATTTGTTTATTTTTGTTTTTATTTCCATTCCTCTAGAAGGTGGGTCAAAAAGGATCTTGCTGTGATTTATGTCATAGAGCGTTCTGCCTATGTTTTCCTCTAAGAGTTTGATAGTTTCTGGCCTTACATTTAGGTCTTTAATCCATTTTGAGCTTATTTTTGTGTATGGTGTCAGGGAGTGATCTAATCTCATACTTTTACATGTAGCTGTCCAGTTTTCCCAGCACCACTTATTGAAGAGGCTGCCCTTTCTCCACTGTACATTCCTGCCTCCTTTATCAAAGATAAGGTGACCATATGTGCTTGGGTTTATCTCTGGGCTTTCTATCCTGTTCCATTGATCTATCTTTCTGTCTTTGTGCCAGTACCATACTGCCTTGATTACTGTAGCTTTGTAGTATAGTCTGAAGCCAGGGAGCCTGATTCCTCCAGCTCCATTTTTCGTTCTCAAGATTGCTTTGGCTATTCGGGGTCTTTTGTGTTTCCATACAGATTGTGAAATTTTTTGTTCTAGTTCTGTGAAAAATGCCAGTGGTAGTTTGATAGGGATTGCATTGAATCTATAGATTGCTTTGTGTAGTAGAGTCATTTTCACAATGTTGATTCTTCCAATCCACGAACATGGTATATCTCTCCATCTATTTGTATCAACTTTAATTTCTTTCATCAGTGTCTTTTAATTTTCTGCATACAGGTCTTTTGTCTCCTTAGGTAGGTTTATTCCTATTTTATTCTTTTTGTTGCAATGGTAAGTGGGAGTGTTTTCTTCATTTCACTTTCAGATTTTTCATCATTAGTGTATAGGAATGCCAGAGATTTCTGTGCATTAATTTTGTATCCTGCTACTTTACCAAATTCATTGATTAGCTCTAGTAGTTTTCTGGTAGCATCTTTAGGATTCTCTATGTATAAGTATCATGTTATCTGCAAACAGTGACAGATTTACTTCTTCTTTTCCGATTTGGATTCCTTTTATTTCCTTTTCTTCTCTGATTGCTGTGGCTAAAACTTCCAAAACTGTGTTGAATAAGAGTGGTGAGAGTGGGCAACCTTGTCTTGTTCCTGATCTTAGTGGAAATGCTTTCAGTTTTTCACCATTGAGGATGATGTTGGCTGTGGGCTTGTCATATATGGCCTTTATTATGTTGAGGAAAGTTCCCTCTATGCCTACTTTCTGCAGGGTTTTTATCATAAATGGGTGTTGAATTTTGTCAAAAGCTTTTTCTGCATCTATTGACATGATCATATATATGGAATTTAAGGAAAAAAAAATGTCATGAAGAACCTGATATAACCAGAACAGATCATGATATGTCATGATCATATGATCTCCTTCAATTTGTTAATATGGTGTATGATGTTGATTGATTTGCGTATATTGAAGAATCCTTGCATTTCTGGAATAAACCCCACTTGATCATGGTGCATGATCCTTTTAATGTGCTGTTGGATTCTGTTTGCTAGTATTTTGTTGAGGATTTTTGCATCTATGTTCATCAGTGATATTGGCCTGTAGTTTTCTTTCTTGTTACATCCTTGTCTGGTTTTGGTATCAAGGTGATGGTGGCCTCGTAGAAGGAATTTGGGAGTGTTCCTTCCTCTGCTATATTTTGGAAGAGTTTGA